AGATGTTATCATATGGTGGGAACCTGGAACTTATTAGATCAATTCTTCAATGTGTGCAATCCTTTTGGTTACAAGCTTTTCCCGTCCCCCAAACCGTGCTTAGCCGGGTTATTGCACTCAGTAGGATCTTCTAATGTGGCTTGGAAAGACATTTGCTTACCGATTGATGAAGGTGGACTTGGATTGAGGGACTGTCGTATTTGGAACATGGCTCTATTGGCTAAAATGCTCTAGGATATCCACAACAAGACTAACTCACTTTGGTCCGGTGGATTCACGCTATTGATCTCAAGGGACGATGTATCTGGGAGGTAAGTGCTCATACCATGGATTGCCAGCTCATTAAAAAACTTTCATCCATTAAAGAGTAAAGACCTTCTCTTGATGCACTTCTAGGGCCATGATGCTACCATTGAGGGCCTGCAAACGCTTTGCCGAAATGGTAGACTATCTTCTTCCGGGGTTTATGATATTTTGAGAATAAGAGGTACTAAACGTGCCTGGATGCCGCTAATTTGGAGGGATTATTCCGACAAAATTTTCGATCATCTCATTGCTGGCCTTTCGGGATAGGCTCGCAACCTTGGATGGGTTAACTAGTGTTCTAAAAGGCGCTAGGCGCTAGGAGCTAGTCGGGCAGTGACTAGCCGCCTAGCGCCTAGCCTGCCTAGGCGCCGACTAGGGTGCCTAGGTATTTTTCCTTTAGTTTTTGTTTTCTTTTTATTTCCTTTGAATTTTAATTATATTACTGATAATTTTATAATATTTTGATAATAGAAATAGCTCATATAATCATTAAGTGTTAAGTTTTTTATAGTAGAATCATCAATAATAAAATAATTAATAAATAAATTAAGATATTTGTGTTTTTACTCTCTAAAAATCCTAAAATACATTCTAAAAAGTTTATTTATATTTAAAAATTATTTTTTTAATTGTGCGAATATGAAAATAAATTATATAGGAATATAATACTTCTTGATCACACAATGTTTTAAGATAAAACGGGAAAAAAGTTGGCTCGGGAAAAAATTTAGTCCAGGCCGCCTAACCCGCCTAGCCAACTAGGCGCCCGCCTAACCCGCCTAGGCCCCTAAACGATTTTTTCACCGATTAGAATGAAATCGGGGCGTCCGGCCACCGCCTAATTTGAATTCTTGATTTCTTCCCATCACATCAGGAAGAGACGGTCATGTGATGAATATGCAACATAATGATGTGTAGAGACCTGAAGTGAGAAGCAAAGGCAAGAGAATAAATTCACGTTTATATTGTTATGGACTTTATCTCATAAATTTCATCTGTTATGTAGTAATGTAAATGTGTTACGGTAACCATGAAGGCGTTGAGATCATTACAAAACATAGTGGTAGACTATCACTGACCATGAGGATGAGGACTAGAAAAAGGATGCACACATAAAGTGATGATTACGCTGAAGAACAACAACAAGAGAAACATCAATAAGGGCAAACACAAAAGAGGTAAACTTTTATAGAGTAATTCATACTTGGCATTTTTAAATAATGAAATTAATGTCTTATAACGCAGAAGTTTTTGAAAAGATTTGCTGCAAAAACAAATTTGTTAGTCACAACAATCATTGAAATAATGAACACGGTAGAAGAAGCTTCATAAGTGCTGCTGGGAAATGAGAATTTCAAGAAAATCCTAGAGGCTACTACAGAGAAACGGTTTTATGATGAAGACGTTGAAAACTTTTGATCTAGTCCAAGAAACATCCAAACTTTAGTGCAAATGGAGCCCACTTCAGTTAGAAGATTGCGCTGCATTGAGAAGCTGGATGATAATCCAAGCTTCAGTATATAACTGGCCCAAGAAAATGATGATGACAGAATAATGAGTATTGCAAATTAATGTACGGGTTGCGATGTTAATATTGTTCAAGAAGAGAATGCAAGGGAGTAAGTAGTAGAGGAGATGCATCCATTTGGTAAAGCAAGGAAGGTAGTAAGAGAACAAATGAAGCTTTTTATGTAACTTAATGAAAAGTTTATTTTTTAAACAGTGCAGTTACGTCTTAGGTGCTTAAAGAGATGATTAAAGATGCAGTAGAGTTAGATGATAACGCAGCAAGCTTTCAGGTAGTTGCGGTAAAATTATTATGTACAACATATTGAAAATGATTTAAAACATGTTTTTAAATAATAAAAATTATTGATAGGACATAGAAGAGAGTGAACAAGTGGGACACTAAAACACCCATGGCAGACCTGAGGCAACACTGAATACAACCTATTTGTTCTTAAGAATTTCTTTAACCCATGAATTGATTTTATGTTTGGTCATATATAATGTCATGTGCTTTTGTTATGTAACATATAGAAGAAGAGATGAGCACTTATGCACCAGTACATGCATCAGATCCAATAGCAAATGTGCATGAGGAGAAGAGAACTGCAAGCCTCATTACGGCACTGAGGTCGCCCTACGTAAAGAGGGTTATTGATCCTGTCAAAGGTATCACCACTACTGAACGTGTTGCAGCTGCATGGTTATTGTTAAAGATAAAGGCTGGTGTGTAAGTGATTGTATGAATTGTGGATGTTATTGATCATGTAATTGAAACGGAATTGAAATTGCAACATCATTTTTCTGACTATATATTACATCTCATTTAACTGCATGTTGGTGGGAATAAGATCATATTCAAAAACACATTTGGTTGCAAGTTACATGTGGTGAGTTGGCGAGCTTAGAAGAAAAGTCTCATATTTTGGCTAGTGTACTAAATGCATGATATTTCATTCTCAATGTCAATGAGAAAGGTAGAAGCAGTGATTCACCTGGCAGATTATTTGCAAAAACGTTCTCTTGCATGAGTGGAAATTGTGAAAAGAAATACATTTGATTTCGGTAAAGTATGTATACCAAAAATCTTATATTTGTTACTAATGGGATGAAATTGCTATTCAGGTAGATACACAGGCAGATCTAAGATTAAATGTTTCAGATGCGTACAATGTCTTTGAACTAGCGCTTGACTTTGGATGGAGACTGGTCAAAGAGCACACTGAAACAGTGCATATTGATTTGGTAAGGGTAGCAAGAAATTGATTATATGATGTGATATATGTAAAAGTACTAACATGAAATGTGGTGCAGTTCTTTTTCCCAATAATGCAAATTAATCACTCCTACGTCATGTGTGTGAATACAAAATTTAAACGTGTGGAGATGCTTGATAGCTCATCAGCTAAGGTGTCAAACTACGACAAGTATGGAGACATGCCAAATATGGTGGTAATAAAATGTTATTGGAGTTATATATTTAATATTTATATTGTATATAGTAAACAACTGACTGGGATTCATTTAATACAAAGAATGTTCAAACTGTGTTGCAGGCTAATATGTTTGTGAAATACTTGGTGTCAAAGATCACGATGGAGAAAGCAAATATGGTGAGCAAATTGGCGGGTAAGATATTACCAATGTCTTGGAGAGATGCGAAAGATGTTTACGGCTATGAGATCATCACTATGCGACATATGGAAACTTATCGTGGGGAAGAGTTACTTGGTTGGAGTATAGGACTGAACAGAGATGGTAGTAAGGAACTTGGTGCATTGAAAAGAAAGTACATTGTTGCGATTTTACTACATAAAAGCAATGAGCTTATGCTGTGATTTTATGTAGTAGAATTGCAGCAATGTACTTTCTTCTCAATGCACCAAGTTTCTTGCTATTATTTCTGTTTAGTCCTATACTCGAACCAAGCAACCTTCCCTACGATAAGTTTCCATATGTCGCATAGTGAATATCCTATAGTCGTAAACATCTTTCTCATCTCTCCAAGACATTAGTAATCTCTTACCCGTCAATTTGCTCACCATATTTGCTTTCTCTGACATGCTCTTTGACAACAAGTATTTCACAAACATATTAACTTGCAATACAGTTTGAACATTCTTTGTATTAAATGAATCTCAGTCAGTTGTTTATTATATAAAATATAAATATTAAATATATAACTCCAATAACGCTTTATTACCACCATATCTGGAATGTCTCTATACTTGTCGCCGTTTGACGCCCTACCTGAAGAGATATCAAGGATATCCACACGTGTAAACTTTGTATTCCCACATATGATGCAAGCATGATTAATTTGCATTATTGGAAAAAAGAACCCCACCACATTTTCATGTTAGTACATTTACATATATCACAACATATAATCAATTTCTTACTAGCCTTACCAAATCAATATGCCATAGTTCAGTGTGCTCTTTCACCAATCTCCATCCAAAATCAAGTGCTAGTTCAAACAGGTTGTATACATTTGAAGCATTTAATCCTAGATCTGTTGTGTATCTAGTTGAATAGCAATTTCATCCCATTAGTAACAAATTTAAGAATTTTTTTATATACGTACCTTATCGAAACCAAATGTATTTGTTTTAATAGTTTCCACTCACACAAGAGAACGCTTTTACAAATAATCTGCCAGGTGAGTCATTGTTTCTATCTCTCGTTGACATTGAGAATGAAACCCTAACGCATTTACACTAGTCGAAATATGGTAGTTTTCTTTTAAGCTCACCAACTCGCCACATGTAACTTGCAGCCAAATGCCTTTTGGAAAATAATCTCACTCCTACAAACATGAAATTAAATGAGATGTAATATGCGATCAGAAAATGGATGTTTCAATTTCAATTTCGTTTCAATTACATGATCAATAGCATCCACAGTTCTTACAATCACTTACATATTAGCCATTTCTTTAACAGTAACCATGCAACCGCAACACGCTCAACGGTGGTGATACATTCGATAGGGCCAATAACCCTCTTTAAGTAGCGCGACTTCAGTACCGCAACGGGTCTTGTAATTCTCTTCTCCTGATGCACATTTTTTATTGCATTTGATGCATCTACTGGTGCATAAGTGCTCATCTCTTTTTGTATCTGTTACATAAGAAAAGGACATGAATATATGCCCATAAATAACTTTAAATCATTTTGTATCAGGTGCACAAGTGCTCATCTCAGTTATATAGGCATATTTTAATTCATTTTCAATATGTTGTACATATTAATTTTACGACAGCTACCTGCAAGCTTGATGCATTGTTATCTAGCTCCACTGCATCTTTAATCATCTCTTCCTTCACCTAATCATTTTTAAAAAAAAACTTTTTATTGAGTTATATAAACAACTTCATTTTTCTCTTACTACCTCCCTTGCTTTACCAAATGGATGCATCTTCACTACTATTTCCTCCCTTGCATTCTCTTCTTTGACAATATTAACATTGTTGCTTGTACATTCATTTGCATTGCTCATTATTCTTTCATCGTCATTTTCTAGGGTCACTCTTATACTAAAGCTTGGATTCTCATCTAACTTCTCAATGTAGTGCAATCTTTTAACTGTACCCATCTTTATTTGTACAAAAGCTTGGATGTTTCTTGGACTTAACCAAAATTTTCAAAGTCTTCATCATAAAACTGTTGCTTGGGTGTTGCTGCATTTGTTTTTGTATTTTTTTTTTGCTTTTGTTCCACCCCCAAGTAGTTTGTTAGTAGTCTCTATGATTTTCTTGAAATTCTCATTTCCTAGCAGCACTTGTGAAGCTTCTTCTACCGTGTTCATTATTTCAATGGTCGTTGTGGCTAACAAATTTGTTTTTGCGGCAAATCTTTCCAAAAACTTCTGCGTTATAAGACATATTAAATTCATTATTTAAAAATGAAATCTATGAATTATAATTTACCTCTTCTGCGTTTGCCCTTGCCGATGTTTCACCATTCTGTGCATCTTCCTCTTCTGATGGGTGCGCCTTTTCTGGATCATTACTGATTTTTTGTACAGTCAAGCTCCTCTTCTTCATCTTGTCATCTAAATGTCCGAGACCAAAACCGCCCGCTTTTATTTCTTCTATTTCTCTCTCCCTCAGTAATGGTGTTGTCCAACCAATTATAGCTCGCTAGTTTCTAATTACACTCCTTCAATATAACACCATTCTATCAACATAAAAACATGCAAAAAAGGAATAACCACCATGTTAAATATTACATGCAATCAAAACTTCTCCATTTTATAGGATAAACTTATTACTAAGAACAGTAATGGACCAGTGAAATCTTTGTCTTTCGCTTGTCCCCATTCCAATTTCTTCTCCATTAGAGCTGATATGACATATTCACAACAATTCATACTTTTAATCACTTTTGTGTCATGCAAGCAATTTATGAACCAATAGTTTATATACCCGTTATCAATCAACCCGCCACTTCAGTTGGACTAATCTTTTCTTTGCCCCAAAAATAGCCCTCCACTCACCTGTCAGAGCATTTTTTCTTTATTTTTTAAGTTTCTTCACAACAGTTGCTTCTCCACGAGGGAGTCCTAATGCATTCTCAACATCTTTGTCTCTCATGTGAACCTTGTTATCATCAGAAAGCTTCAGTGTGCAACTCTTCGGATCAAAGTTATCCACAATCCAACATCCAAGTTTTGAAGGCAATTCTTGGATCTCTAGGTGCAGCATCGCTGCAAAATCTATTATAGTAACCTCTTCTCTTTGTTTCTCGTTCAACTTTGATATTGCATGGACAATCATATTGGGTGATGATCTATCGTTCAAATTTCTATATTGTTCCTTCATCTCTCAAAGCACCCTACTTGTGTTGCTTTTTTCGTTGATGTTTATGTGCACCACCTGTTTTTTTCAAAGCCTTAGGACTTTCAAAAGATTTGTCATTGTCATGTTCTAGAAATTGGCCTAGTTGTACCGATTAATCGGCCTAGTCAGCCCTACATGTAGAGGACTAATCAGCTTAGTCGGCCAAAAATCAGCCTAATCGGTCAAAAAAATCGGCCTAGTCAGCCGTCTAGGCGCTAGGCGTCCATCAACCGTCTCACTAGCGCCCAACGAGTTTTAGAACAATGCTCACAGTAGTTCTATTCTATGTCTGTTCATCACTATTTTGTGATTTCATAGTACTTTCTTGTTGTTGTTCTGCATAATCATCACTTTCTGTGTGCACCCTTTTTCTAGTCCTCCTCTTTATGGTGAGTAATAGTTTGTCAATATCTTTTGTAACGATCTCAACACCTGCATGGTTACCATAACACAATTACATTACTACCCAACAAATGGAATTTATGAGATTAAATTCCATAACAAATTAAACGTGAATTTGTGTTCTTGCCTTTGTCTCTCCATAACAAGCTATTCACAAACAAAAAATAACTGCTCACAGACGTGTGTAAGATGGTGCGTACAAAAAAGTGTGTACAAGAAGATTTTTTATATATCCTACATGCGTCCCTTAAAACTTGACTAAGTTCGACCAACGCTAGAATTAATATGCGTTATTGAGGTTTGTGTAGAGGAGAGAGAGAGAATTAACCAGAATCACAAATTCTTACTTATAGGGGAAAATGGCAAATTTAGAGACACAACTAAAAAAGAAAAATTAACAAAGTTTTAGGGGACATACGTAGTATATGTGACCAAGTGTTAGGTAAGAAGCGCACATACACTCCATTCAAACATTTGCACTTATGGAGTCGTTGACTTAATTTTACTATTATGTACTATTAGGAAAGAAATTATTTTATGATTAATAATAATTACTTTAAACCATTTAAACATCGTAAATTAAAATGCTTCTTTATTTTAAATTTAAAAATGTATTGCACTCCCTTTGTCCCCATAAGATTGTCTTATACCAAATTTGATAAAATTTGTGTGACTCTAATTTATTCTTCATCAATTTTATATCTAACACACACATCCACTTTTCTTAATAACTACACCACCTCTCCATGTCTCATTGTTGGTGGGACAAAGATAGTATAAGAAATAGCCATAAATTGTTCATTGTAATGCAATAATATTTTTTAGATTTGAGTTTTTAATAATCATGCATACTTCTCATTCAAGACAACAATATCTATCTCTAGCAATGTCTAGACTATCCAACTAATCCAAGTCGATAAGCACGTGTAAAATTTAACGGCAATTGGCAAAGTTATCAGGGACATAGGATGAATGAGAGAGAAGCAGGGACGCAGATCATCACCTTAGTACTAAACTATTTCCAAAAGAACTACTAATACTGTTCAGAGCTATGTGAGGGCGCCTTAGCGCCTATGCCCATGCTCCCCTAGGTTTTCCAAAGGTGATGGACATTGCTTTCTCATGATACTATTATTATCAGGAGGGCAACAAAGCAAAACTGCCCTGTAAGAAAAGACAGATGAAGATACTCAATTTATCCCCAAAATAAAAGGGAGTCATGTTCATTACTAAAGCCTGTGTAACTGTGTGATTCATAATAGTAGAATTGGTGTTTAATAAAACAGCTAAATTTGTGTAGGGAATATTTGCCTTCCCTGGAAGAGAAAGACCTTGATGTTTACAAAACAACTAAATCTGTTATGTCTTTTATGTGAGAGCCTTCTTTGAAATGAAATCAAATGTTATCCCATTCTGCTGGAGCCGTTCTTGGAGATCTGTGGGGCCAAATATAATCCCGGGAGGAAAGACACCACCTTTGGGTAAGTCACCCCGCTGGTTCAACAGAACAAGGGCACATTGAACCAGGGTCACTGGAGTTGTCAAATAGCCAATCTCAGGTCCCATTACCCTGGTAATAATTTCCATGTCAGCTTTCTTGGTTCCTTGTGATGCAAGACTGGCATCACTAAACCCATGCCCAACAAACCACATTTTGAAGGAAGCACTCGACACCTCTTCTTCAGTTGGACCCTTCTTCCTAAACAACCCAAGGCTAAACACAGAAGGAAATCTCAAGAGCATCCCTCTCCCAATAGAAGATTTACCAAAGAGTGCAAGGAACAATCCCATTGTTACGTAACGAGCCACACCAAAAAGAGATTTGGTTGCTATCTTCACGCCGAAGTGAGCCGGTTTCACTGTAGACCAGAAGGCTCTCCTCTTTTCAAAATTTTCAACACTTTCGTTAACACCCGGTATACCTTCAGGGTTTTCAGTCAAAGATGAAAGTGTTCTACGGACCACAACGGAATCTGCTGATGGTAATTTCAGAGCCCAAAGGCCGATCTCTTTTTGGTGCTCCACGGTTGGTCCTTTCGGGGGAGGACCAGGAATCTGACATTAGTTGAATCAGTTCAAAAAAAATATGTTAACATCAATTCAAGAAGAAAACAGAGAAAATTCTCAACATAGGAGTGTCACTGTTTTCTTCCCTAAATAGGACTCATGCACACCTAGTTTGGGAAGTTTTTATTGTTTTTTTTAATAGAGGTAGGTAAGTCATATTTTGGGAAGAAAACATACTTAGTCTTATTTTAAAATTTTGTCCATGTTTTTTGTCCAATTTTGAACAATTTCTTAAGAAAAAACGATTCTGGAACCAACTGCATTTTTATTATGTGCAAGATGGTGAAAATAAAATTGGGTTTTAAAATAGTCTGCTGAAGGAAAAGTTAAAAACAAAGAATCACAAAATATAAAATTCCAAAAAAAGAACCTAAATATGTCAATTTTAGTATGTCATCATAACCCTCCAGAGGAAATATTTTATGACACTTACTGGTCTAGAGTATGTCACCAAAACATTCCTAGACGACGGCAGATGGGAAGTTGATGGGGAGGAGAAAAGAGATGGAGATAAAATTGAAGTATGAGCTAATTTAATCACTATTTGGAAATATTTATATATGAAGTAGCATGTTATTGTCCATAAAAGTTAAAGCTCTAGGAGTAATATTTGATCATTTTTTAAACAGAAATCGAAAGATGGACATATTGATGCACCCCTCTATCTATTCCAGTATCATCATAATGCGGAGGAAAGGGATAGCGAGGTGGGTGGAGGATCATGGACTGCATAACCAACAGGTCAAAAATTCAGTTCTTGATAACACCATATCCATTGGAACCATATGACTTCAATTTCAAGTACGGTTTACCATTTCAATGTCAAGGTGTGGTTTGAGGATTGTATATTTGGATATCTTTTAGTGTGGTTTAACCCAAATGTCTTATGACCTAGTTGAGTGACCCAAATCCATTTGAATTCTATCAGTTCCCTTGTCAGCCAAAAGAGAAAGTACAACATCATCCTAAGGTACTAACATCATCCACTTATGATCCCATTCTCATTTAGCTTGCACAAAGAAAGGTGGGAATTAGGGATGTAAATGAGCCGAGCCGAGCCCGAACTCACATATGCTCGAACTCGAGCTCGAAAAAATTTTATATGCTCGAGTTCGGCTCGAGCTCGATCGAACTTAAAAAATTGAAACTCGAGTTCGACTCGAAAGCTTTACTTGAGCTCACGAGCCGCTCGAGATTGACTCGAAAGCTTAGCCATTTTATGAAGCTTTGATGGCGTGCTGCTCGGTAGAGGAAACTACTCCTCACTTTCCGGTGTGGGAAGTATAGAAATTAGAAACTAAAAACAAATCTGAGTGTTGAAATCCGAAGGAGTGCACAAAATGATACCGTGGAATGGATTCGAACCTGGGCTGCCTACGAATGCAACAAGGGCAATTCCATCCCGTCTACCAACCCGTTTGTGTAAACTTTGATGTCATTTTCTTTTATTCTTAATCCCGGTGAACTAACGAAAAAACTAATACTTTTTTTTGTTTTTACGAATAAACTAATACTTACTTCGTGTTATATAAGTAGTATTATAATTATTATAGATAATGATTATAATAATAAATAATGTTATATTTTATTATGTCTATTATAATATACGTAGTAATAAGTATTAAAAAAAGAGTAATTCTAAATAGAATAACTATTTCAAAAATATTATATGGGCTTTCTCTATATTACTAAATAATTAGTGGTTGACAAAAAAGTGACTATTTTGTAAAAGGACAAAAATGTGACTAGGAAGATCATATAATTGGAAAAAAGTTAGATTATTGTAGAATTTTTATGTCACTGCTAAATTTTTATGTCACTGTCATATGTCATTATCTGATTTTTATGTCACTTTTAAATGTCACTGCCGATTATTATGTCACTCAAATGTCACTATCAATTATCATGTCACTTTTCGAATGTCACTTTCAAAATTTCCAGCGACTTTTTTCAGTGAAAATGTGATGCAACCTCCACCATAGTTTTCGCACAGGAAACCACCGCTACGCCGCCGAGCCACCACGACAGTCACCCTCCATAACCCCTATCATGCCAGCTAATGGTGACAGCAAAAAACACCAATACACCCCACCACCTACTGCCGCTGCCGCACCAACTCTGATCACCGTCGTAATATTCCGGCCGCCACCATCTGCCCCCTGGCTTACCGCCGCCATCTATAGCTCATAGCCTAACCTCCTCAGTCCCCAAACCGCCATCCCCAGCCCCAAACCGCCCTCCCCAGCCCCTAGCCCCAGTCCCTGCCTACCTTACCATGTCCCAAATGTTGTCCCAAGCTATCGCATTACCCCCAACCTAGCCGGTTCCATCTGGATCGGAATCACTCGCCGATGATGCTCCTCGCCGCCGATGTGTTGCACGATATCTCCTAGAAACCTTGGATATCACAGATCTGAACGTCGGCGATGACGACAGAAACGATTTGTCTAGCTACTCCGTCAGAGACTAGGGCGGCTGGACAAGGACGACGAAGAACAAGGCGGCAGGGCAAGGAAGATGAAGATCAGGGCGGCAAGGCAAGGACGATGAAGAGCAGGGCGGCGATGATTCGTCTGCTTTGACCGCGGAGGGCACAACGAAGAAGAGACGATCTGATTGCTCAATCCGCAGAGGAGCTCCATGTATTTGCGTCGATGTATTACTCCATCTCCAGAGAAGTTATAATGTCTTGAACACACCAATGAAGAAGACAGAAGGCCACTGGGCAAGAGTTGAGTGCGGAAGAAAGAAATAAAACGGAAGGCCATAGGGTGAGATGCTTTAGCTTTGGTCACCTTTTTGTCAAATAGGAATTTAGTGATATTCTTGTCTACTAAGAGTTGGGGAGTAATATTTAGGCCATTGTTTCATATTATATATATAATTACTATACAACATGTAGGCTCGAAAACCGGCTCGCGAGCCACGTAGGGATGTCAAAAAAAAAACCGACCTGCAGTGACCCGCCCTGACCCGAGACATTTGGGGCGGGTCTGGCCCGGTCCGTCTTCCAAATGGGGCGGGTCCGCCCCGCCCCGCCTATACAATGGGACGGGTCCGGGTATTAGTATTGACCCGTGCCACCCTGACCCGCCCCGACTCGACCCGCTCAATACATAAACATACATATTTTTTCTTAAATTATACTACAAATATACTTCAACATACATATGTGTGTATACAGTAAATCATAAATTCTTTGATCTTATAATATATTAATACATATATTAGAATGAGATGAACGACATATTATCAGTGTCTTCTTTATATATACTCCCTCTGTCCCTCATAACTTTGCCAAGTTTGACCGACACGGGGATTAATAAAATAAAAACTGTGTGGTTGAGTTTTGTGTAGAGGAGAGAGAATTAACTGGAACCACAAATTCTTTACTTAAAAGGGAAAGTGGCAAAGTTAGTGGGACATCCAAAAAAGGAAAGTTGGCAAAATTATAAGGGACGGAGGGAGTAGTATTTTAATACATATGTTCAATTATGAGTATAATTTAATAGATTAACTATTCAAGTCTCAGTAATTTTTCCTTAATTTTTGAAATTTTTAGGGTATCATGAATTTGATTTAATATATTAATTATTAATTATTATTTACAGATAAACTTTATGTAGATTCAAATGGTAACAACTTGCCGCAAAAAAAAAATACATACTAGCTAATTAGATTACGGCGGGGCGGAGCGGACCCGCCCCGCATGGGTCTGGTCATGGGTCAAAAAGTTTGGACCCACCCCGCATGGGTCTTGCAGTACCTGCCCCGTCCCGACCCATTGCCATGCCTAGAGCCACCCACGAGCCTAAAATTAAGAGGCTTGACTCGAGTTTGTTTAGTATACGAGTCGAGCCGAACTCGAGTCGAACTTGAATATGACCGAACTCGAGTCGAGCTTTTCCCGAGCGATCCACGAACGGCTTGGCTCGTTTGCACCCCTAGTGGGAATGTGATTGTATAACTGTATACATAAAAAGAAATAACATGTGTCCATTAGGACAGAACATATGTAGAAAGAATGCCAAACAACCATTTCAAGCACTGGTTAAGGATTTGGCTTCTCTCCATAGTTTCTGCCTCTCTAGGCCAAGCGATCTAAAATCATAAAGCCATGATTTTCCTTACCCTGATCATAGATCGAACAATAGGGAGGGAAGACAGAGTTTTCCTGTCCAACTCCATTGATGAAATCCAATACTAGATGACTCTGATTTATAAAAAAATGCGACTAAAGAATCATACCGTTGGACGAGGTCTTCTAGGCCTAGAACGCCGGAGCTCCTGCAGCTTGTCCATGTTAGCCACCCCAAGAACCGCTGACTCGTAGGTTCCGAGGTTCCCCACAATCCTCTTGTCGGACTCGAGACTCAAGTACGCCTCCACGCGATTCGGAGCCGCCGGCGAGACCCACTGCCGGGAATTGAACATCAAACCCAACTCAGCCGGAATCGAATCGAACCCACAAGCAGAAATTACCAAGGAACCCTTCTCCGCCGCCTTATCGTGGTAAGACGCCTCCATTCTCTCCATAAACTCCGGTTCACCGCAGATATCCAGGTAATCGCATCCTGCGTCGACGCAAGCCGCCACGACTGGCTCACCGTACAAACGGAAAGGACCGACGCAATCGAGAACGATCTTGGCCTGGGAGGCGACGCGGCGGAGGGAAGAGGGGTCGGTGGTGTCGGCGGTGAGGATGGGGATCTGTGGCGGTGGGTTCGGGTGGGAGGCCCATTCGAGAGCTTGGGCTAGTTTAGACGGGCTTCGACCTGCTAGTGCCAGGGACGTCAATGGAGAGGACGGTACATTGAGGAACTTGAGGGCCTCCCGAATGACGTACTTTCCGGTGAAACCAGAGGCTCCGAATATGACGATGTCGTAGGTTGTCTGTTCGTCTTCCATTTCTGGCATTTCAGTGGTATCAGAGAGACGACTGAGGGCGACGATCGAGTGAGATTTATGGAATCAAGACTCTAAATTTGGCAAGTGAAAAACCGTTTGGTTCTCATTGAAGCAGAATTTGCATGTACAGGAAAGACTTATCAAATCGGGTGAACTTTTTTTAAATTCATAAATCATGTGATCGTTACATCATGTGTTCTATACCGTTTTCGTTTCCTTTTATCACATTTAAAAATATGAACCATATGAATTGGCTGAATCCACGTAAAGTTCTTGAAACGACTTAAATATTTAAATTTATTGAATTAAAGAAAAATTATACAGAATATTTAAAATTTATTTTATTAGAAAAACAAAGAACAAGAAAAAGGGCAAAAAGTGACATTCTCCCTTAATAGGGTTTCGACTTTTGCCGTCCGCGCGGCGGTGTGTGTTGGAGCACTGCGGAAGGCTTTCAGCGGCGGAACGACATAGCTTTACTATGAAGACCGATGGATACGATCTCGCAGGAACCGAGGAGGGAAGACCGAGAGACATCTCATGAGGAGGAAGGCTCGGTAGACAAGTTGGTTGAGAAATATGTGGGTCTGGACATTGGTGAAGCCTCAGACGAGCTGGTGATTGACGATGAAGAAGAAGGGGCTACGGCGATGGAGGAAAATTGGTCGGCAGAATTTCCGATGATAGGAACGATCCTTACGAACAAAGTGGTTCGGTTTCAGATCTTTAAGGATCTCATGGGGGGGGGGGGGGGGGGGCTTGTGACGCCCGGGCAAAGGGGTCTCGATTAAGGAGACCGGAGAAATGAGGTACCATTTTAAAAAAAATTCACTCTGTTGACATGAACCGTGTACTGGACAATGTTCAATGGTTGTTTGAACAGAATATGTTAGTGTTAAGGGCCATCAAGCCAGGGGGTATTCCGTTTAATGTCTCTTTGGATTCAGTTGAGTTCTGGGTACAAGTACACAATGTGTCGTATAGTTACGCAAACATTGGAACTGCTATGAGAATTGGAAATTATCTTGGGGAATTTGTCAGGTGTGATGATAACCTGTTTGATGAAAAATGGGAAGTTTACATGAGGGTTAGAGTTCGTATGGATATAGGAAAACCCTTGAAAATTGGTACTACAATTAGGAAAAGTAAAGGGGAAGGGAATTGGGTTGACTTTAAAATATGAAAAACTTCTAAGTTTTTGTTTTGTCTGTGGAGTTATTGGACATGCAGAGATTTTTTGCCCCTATTGTATGAAAAAGGAGGCCAGGAATTGACTAAGTCAGTAAGTCGTTTGGCCCGTGGCTACGGGGGAGGAAGGAAGGTTGACCATCCATGAAAAGTAAGTGGCTGGTTACGGAAGGAAGCTCTTCAGCAAATGGCAGTAACAAGACACGTATAGATATGTCAACTCAGTTTCAGGACCCAGCTGACACGGGATAGTAATCAGGGATGGATGGTAGCTACTACCAATCCAGAAGCGGCTTAGACGGGAGGAGGTGCAGGAGAGCAAGAGAGAAGACATACATGGGAGGAACAAGAACAAGGGGATGAGGTGGGGGAGACAATGACCCTTTATGACCCAAAAAACGGGAAAGGGGCATGCTCTGAGTCCCAGGCTCGCCAGAGCTACGGAGGCTGCTAACAGCCATGATGGTTGAAAGACACCTTTATTATGCTTGCTTGACGTTTTTTATTTTCGTAATGTTTTGGATTTGTACTTTGCTTTTGTTGTGTTGTGTTTTTTCAGGAAAAAAAAACTTTAGAACTTAGGACAGGGGACGAGGAGTGTGGTCTGCAAGTCATTGACTCAGTTAAGCTCAAAACGAGATCAACGAATTATATTGCTTCTACGGAGATAATTAATTCTAAGTCTGATTCTATGGTGGACGACAGACAGAAGACTTTTTGTCATTTTGTAACCTGTGCTTACGTTCTGTTACGATAAATTAAGCCACTTTCGTTCAAAAAAAACGAAGAACAATATGGATAATATGGGTAATATGGGGTATTCAGACATATAATAAAGGATTTTAAAGCATATTGGATTTCATGGATTTGAATGGAATTCCCATATCTTTTGAGATTCTCTTTTCCAAATCCACTGGCCTTGGACAACCGGCGTAATTGATCCTCCTTCTCCACAGTCCAAGCCTCCAAGTCTCTGCCTTTGGCTCCAATCCTCTGCCTCCTCGCCTTCAACTCCACGCCTCGCAGGAGTCGCAATGGGGCTAGCCTCCGACTCGAAAGAAATCCGTAGAAATCCCAGGAGATGGGTGAGATTTTGGGTAGAATTACTTCCTATGCATTTTAGCCTTTAAATCCTTTCAAATCCAAGTCTTCAAAAGTCCGTGGAAATGTTGAGGACAACAGTTTTAGGAGGATTCCGTTGAATTCTAGATCGAGGAACACGAATTTTAAAAATCCATAGGAAGCAATTCTAATTGGGACAATCCATAGTACTTTTGTTCTTTAAAACTTTGTCAACTTTCTTTTTTTGTTTGTTCCACTAACTTTGTCACTTTTTCTTTTAAGTAAATAATTGGTGGTTCCAGTTAATCTCGCTCCTCTGCATAAACCTCAATCACACAGTTTTTACTTTATTAATCTCTACGCCGGTCAAATTTGGCCAAGTTTTAAGGGACGAGGGAGTATGTGAATACGAGTGGTGTCTTAGGGTTACAAGGCATCCCAAGGGAGTATATATAGAGAAATAATGGGTCGGGGTCACTAATATGAGCCCAATAGGCCCAATTACGTAAAAAGTTAGTCTTGTAGATACAAATAAATGTGTAAACTGTACAATAATATAAATGATATTTGTTAAGCGTATGTGGACTGCTGTCCAGGTCAAATAGTCACGAGACCGGGGGTCCAAGTCTATATACTCTATCAGGAGTCTCCACACTCCTTGAGGCGAGAGTACTCGAGGTGAAAGAGAGTAGAATAATGTCCTGACTTGTCGTCTGGTGGAGTAAACTTTTGTCGTTGTTGAGGTGTCATGCCCGTATTCCTAAGCCGTTGATTCATTCTCATTGGCGAGCCCTGATCGAGGCAACCTTGTGGGAGAATCCTTTGCACAAGGTCACATACTAAAGATCATCACAACGGATCTTGGGGTTGAGGGGCCATGTGTATGTACTTCTTGGTTGCCACACTTCTTTGGTTGGAAGATTTCTGATTTGCAGACACTAACCATTTGTAGCTATATTTTGGTTAGATAAATCATGGTTGAATAATACTTTGTTTTTGGATAGATCAATGGATGTATTTTTTTTGGAACAACTAATATGTCAATGTTTGACAAATTCTTCTACTATTAGCCGGTTGTTATTGGATGCTATTAGTTGTTTTTTATCCATATTGAAATATTGTGGAGCAATATATTGTTTAATCTACGATGGAAAACTTCATTATATTTGATGTAAGCCTGGATGAACTGCAATTAGTCTCATATTATGTGAAACAAAGCATACTGCTATCCTTAAGTTGCTGCATTTTTACTTTATTAGTTTTGCTGCAATTAAATATTGGGGGGATTTGACTTTGCACGCCATATTTTAGGTGATATTTGACTTTGCACCATATTTTCAAAATCATTAATATATGCACCCAATTCACTATAAAATCGTTTGACTTTGCACCCCACTCCTTCACAATTTTTAGGCTAATGGGGATGCATATATTAATGATTTTAAAAATGGAGTGCAAAGTCAAATATCATCTAAAACATGGGGTGCAAATTCCAATTCAGGAAACCATCCTTATTACCTACTAGTAACATATTAAAATAGCCATGAAAACATAAGTGGTTTACAAAGCTATTTCGAGAGAAGCCTACAAGTTTTCTATTTATATATTGTGCTTCTAATTTTACTGGAAGAGAGTCCTGCAACTATTAATCAATATTGAAGATGTATAAATTATTGAGTAATATTACAACATACTTGAAATTGTTTCAGTACACTGTATAATTTACAAACAATCTAGCTACAAAGAGGAGACTGCGTGAAATGGGGTGGTGGGAGAAGATGTATGGTACACATTACACAATAGGTAAACCAAGATGTAAAGCAATATCAAAAGCAATATCAAAAGGACAGTTAGTCCCGTTTCACTAAAAGGATGACACCCCATCCCTCATACCCCCAACTCTGACCGGACGGTACATCAGAGAATGTAAATTACACTATAATCCCAATCTGACAGATAGAGAGTGAGGCTATGTCTCCGGTACTTGCAGAGGTCTTATACATTTTTAGCATAGTCTCGTTTCACTTAATGTATTAATGTGAACCATTTTACAAATTTGAATTATTTGTATCAATTTGTACAATACGATTATTATTGTAAAACTCCTAAAAGTACTGAAATTGGTGGTAAATAAAACAGCTAAATTTGTGAAGGGAATATTTGCCTTCCATATACAAGAAGCACTTCAATGTTTACAACAAAAAATCTATTTGTACACGTTCTCTTATACACGTTCTTATACACTTGTCTGTGGTGGGTCTTTTTTTGTCTGTGGATATTTTTTGTGTCTGTGACAGACAAAACACGCCGATTCACAGACAAAAAAATGATATATCACAGACAAATGTATAAGAACGTGTACAAATAGAATGACTCACGTTTACAAACAACTAAATCTGGTATGTCTTCTATGTGAGAGCCTTCTTTGAAATGAAATCAAATGATATCCCATTCTGCTGGAGCCGTTCTTGGAGATCTGTGGGGCCAAATATAATCCCGGAAGGAAAGACACGCCTTTGGGTAAGTCACCCCGCTGGTTCAACAGAACGAGGGCACATTGAACCAGGGTCACTGGAGTTGTCAAATAGCCAATCTCAGGTCCCATTACCCTGGTAATAATTTCCATGTCAGCTTTCTTGGTTCCTTGTGATGCAAGACTGGCATCACTAAACCCATGCCCAACAAACCACATTTTGAAGGAAGCACTCGACACCTCTTCTTCAGTAGGACCCTTCTTCCTAAACAACCCAAGGCTAAACACAGAAGGAAATCTCAAGAGCATCCCTCTCCCAATGGAAGATATGCCAAAGATCCCAAGGAACAATCCCATGGTTTATTTAGACAAGGGATGGGAGGAGAAAAGAGATGGGGATAAAACTAAAGTATGTGCTTATTTAGTTCGTTTTTAGAAATATTTATTTATAAAGTAGCATGCTATTATCAATAACACTCTATTCGTTGAAACGGTGGATCATGGACTGCATAACCGGAGGCAGTGGAGGAGCTAGGGGGGCAAGCGCCCCCTCTCAGACTAATTTTTTTTACTAGTATTACTTATAATATGTTTCTTGCCCCGGCTTCTTTTTTAATTTTAAAAACAATAAGTACAACTTAAGGTTATTTTAAGATGAAGTGTTAAAATAAATAAAAAAGTATTTTCAGAAAAAGTAAAAAAAAATGAAATATAGAATAAAAGGAGATTAATGTATGTAATACATTTGGCATCCCAATTTGCCAATAATCCGGAGTAGCTCAGTGGAGACAGGTAACACGCTCCCTTCGTATCACCCGTGTTCGAATCCCCCCAGGACGGATTAAGTTAAACTTGTTTTGCTTTTCTTCCGCCCCAATTCTTCCAATTTTATTTTCTTCAGCCTACAACTCGTCCCACACCGGATGAAATAGAGGATTCACTCCTCATTTGAGCCTATATAATCGCTCCTTCATAGTTGATAAAGATTAAGTTGCTAGTAAAGCTTGAGTGCAAGTATTAGCTACAATATAAACAAATATTGAATACCCATTCGGTTTTTGTGAAAAAACCGAATAACCGGACCGAAAATTCGGTGTCCGAAAAATTGGGTCCCAACTTAGATCGGTTCGGTTTCGGGTTATAGAATATACGAAACCGAAAGATCGGTTCGGTTCGGATATTTCCTATTTCGGTTCGGTTCCCGAACCGAATCCGGCCCTAGTTCTCACTTCTCCCCATTTGTTCTCAGATTCTGCAATTTTCAAGTAAGTTTCTCATCTGCCAATTTATGCTACATCGAAAGAGACATTTTTCAAGCAATTGATAATGAAGCTATTATGCAGCATTTTCAAAATATGAAAACTCGTAGGATTGATTTGCCTAGGTTGCAGAAGTAAATCAAGTAGTATGTAATGAACTATAATTTTTTGTTAAATTATTACGCTATTGTTGTTCTTATTATATTTTGGACACGAACTTTAAAATTTTTAGTCTTTGGTTTGCCCCTCCTTGGACAAACCTCTGGCTCAGCCACTGACCGGAGGTAACAAACAAATTCAGTTCTTGATAACACCATATTCGTTATTCGTTGGAACATTATGAGCCCGTTTTGCAGCACGAAAAGTGGCTCTGTTTTGGCTGATTCTGTTGAAATTTATGAAGTTCTCGCTGAATTGGCTGCATTGGCTGATTCTGCTCATACAAGAAAAAAATATTTTTAAAATATATTTTATTAATAAAATAAAGAAAAAATTATATGTAAAAATAGCTAAAATGGTCATCTACAGTAACTTCAGCCAATACACTCATAAAAGTAACTTCAACCTTACTTTTCCGGTTCCAAGGATAAAACCTTTCGGTACCATGTCGTTTCGGAACGGTACAAAACGACACGGTACAATGCCAAACACATGCTAAATTTTTTGAACAAATCTTGCAATTAGTAGATATCATCACACCAACCAACTCACATGAAATGTTGAAATAAATACAAGAAATTGCATACCTAGTACTAAAATTCACAAATACACAAATAGTGCAACACAACTAAGAAAATGTATAGCAAAACGATGACGCACGAGTTAAATATCATTTTTAATTTACTAAGTTCATGTGAAAATATAAAAAAGAATATCATCAAATTGTTGAATATAATAGAAATCTTCAACGTTCTTCTTCGTCGTTCTAGGTTAAATATTACTCCGTAGTTCTAATTTAATTTATAGTTGAACCTTGAGAGCTAAGATTTAGACCATGTTAATTAAGTTGTAAAAAATGCACAAACATGATACAACAAAAAGTCATGTACACTATATTACTAGAAATAAATAATCATTAATGATTTCTAAAGTTTTAATATTCTTTCAATACATACCAAAATATAACATAAATTATCTAAAAAGAAAAACTAACAATATATATATAAACAACACATTTTAGATATCTTAGGGACACATGAATACATACTTGGGGTATAAAATTGTTGGTGTAGATCTATTGATATAGAAAAAATATAAAAATTCAAATGCATTATTTACGAACGGTTCGGTCCGGTATTTTTCGGTTCTCAAAATCTAGGACCGGTCCCGTACCCGTTTCAAACGGTACGGTTTCGGTACGAGATAAAAATCTACAGAACCGTTTAAATACTCGGTATTCGGTTCAGTACCATTACGGGACGGTTCGATACCGATTCGGTTCGGGTTTTATGCCCACCCCTAGATTTATCAAAATCGGGTGAAGTCGGTGAACTTTCTTTCAAAAAACCAATCCGGTCAACTTTTTTATATTGACAAATTCGTGTCTCATGTGCAAATTATATGGAATCTTTACATCATGTGTGGTATACTATGTACTTCGTCCGTTTCGGAAAGGTCGGCCAAAGTTGACTTTCACGTGGATTAATAAAGTAAAACTGTGTGATTTAAATTTGTGCAAAGGAGAGAGAATTAATTTTAGCCACATATTCCTTACTTTAAATGGAAATAACAAATTTTTTTGGAACATCTAGAAAGGGAAATTTGGCTAACCTTTTCGGGACGGATGAAGTATCATGTATGGTTTGGTTTACGGCCGTCAAGATTGATCAAAACCCGGTGACTGGCTCGTTTCAACTCACCCATGTTAAGCCTAATTGCTGGTTACATAGGTTGACCCACACAAGTTGCGAGTTGACTTGCGGGACAGAATAGAGACGTATAGTTTTGACTTTCATTAACTAAAATATTACTAATTCCATTTAAAAAATAATTATCGTTTTCAAAACTTTGACGGACTATATTTTTTTTATTGGAATTATATACTACTTCCGATCTCTTTTAATTGCAACATTGAACTTTTTGCACTATTCACATATTTTACTTTGACTACATTTTATTTATTGATATATTATTAATTAAATTATAAAAAAGCATTTTTAAATTTCTCTCGTTTTAAATTTTTAAAATCTGATTTTTTTTAATTTTTTACTAATAAGGAATAAAAGATATTAATGGTCAAACTTGTGCGTTGACAAACGTGAAAAGTAGACTGTTGCAATTAAAAAAGAACGGAGGAAGTATGAAATAAAAATTATATGAAAATGTTCTTTGTTAAAAGCATTTTCATAAACGTATGAAATTTATAATTTCAAAACTTTGACAAAATGTATCTTTTTGAAATGACAAAGTTTTTTGGGAAGGAGATATTATTCTTTTACTTTCAAAATATTGACACTTTATTTTGGACAATGGATCACTCACAGGGCAATTGGTCATTGGAGGGTAGCGGCCGGTCACCTCTAGCAACCGCTTGCGGGTGGTGCCCTCAGATGGTTGCCAAAGGTGGTCACTATCAGACTAGGGATGACAACGGGGTGGATCGAGGACGGTTTTATGTATAATCGTACCCGCCCTGTTGGGTGATTCCCTCGAACCGTAACCGCGACATTACCCAATGGGTAAATTTTACCAAAACCATAACCGCCCCAACGGGTAACAGGTATAACTGCGGGTAATTGCTTTATTAAATGACTCGTTGATATTTTAATATAAAAATAATATTTTGAAAGACGAAAAACAGCATCACCTAGACGATTCTAGACTCAGACGCCACTTTAAACTTTCGTATGTCTACAAGACGAGAAATAAGGCAACCTAAAATAATTTAAATCTAAAAATACTTAATCTGAAAAATAATTAATCACAAATAAAATTTGATAATAATCAAACAAGACTATGAAGATCTATTATGAACTTTCATTGATACATGTACTATAGTTAGTACATCGATTATCCATAGATACATAATGAAAATAGAAAAATCTAATCTTTTAGTACTCGTGTGACAAATGATAAGAATGTAAGAAAAATATAACTACAAATAAACAGAGCGGGTAATGGGGCGGGTATGTATAAAACCGTAACCGCCCCGTTACCCATAAAAACAAAACGGGTATTCCCCGCCCTGTATCCATTACCCGGTCAATACGGTTTTTCCCATTTTAACCGGGGCGGTTCGATGCAGGTATCCATCGGATCAATCACATTTGTCATCCCTACATCAGACCGAGTAAGTGTATCTGATGGGATTGGATAATTGTAAGTGGTCGGATTATGTGACTATAAATGGTCAAATTGGATAATTATAATTGGGGGAGGTATATAAAATCCATATAGGCCTCATTTTTGAAAATATTTAAAATCAATCTCATTAGTTATATTCAGTGATGTTTGGAAAATGGGGTTTCAACCAAAAAATGACGATTTAGACCCTGCTGCCCTTCCGTGATTATAGATTTATAGACACCTATGTAGAGATCGATACTCGATTGCATGTTTCTAATACTCAATAGAAGAGGTTTTGATGCTCAATGGAAATGTTTTGATGTTCAACTAACAAAGCGTATTATTTTCATATCAATACTCATTTATAGTTATTTATACTCATTTGATATTAGTGTTATGCTCATTTTAAAATGTCATATCAATATTTATTTAAAAAATACCATATTACATTAAATTCGCATATTGAAATTTTTAGGAGTTTATTATGAATAAAATTTATGAATTTTTTATAATTGAAAAAATAAGAAAATGAAAGTGTATTAGAAGATATAAAAGGGAGATTTAATCTCCTAATACTCAAAAAATATGTTTGATCGTCGTTGTTAGCAAGTGGACTCGGTACTCATTTAGGTGCGTTTGTTTAAAAGATCTTGTACATCACTGTCTCAACGGATCATCGTCGGCTACTTGCCAATTTGCCAGCCACAGAACCAGAGTGGTAGGTTTTGCTTTTCGCGAAAGATACGTCGACGCAACGCATTTCTCCACGTCAAACGGGGAGGACCCGGATCTTTTCTTATTTTAAACGTCTAATTCCAAAACCCCGCAATGTCATGCGGCCTCCGAGATCGCTGTCTTCTCTTTACCTACCCACTCCTATATGCGGTAGGAGACTTCAGTTTCAACACCTACCAAAAAATGCTCGTACAACTAAAATGCCCAAAGTTAAATTTGATTCAGGCGCATTCATGACTCGCTGACCAACCCTCATTTGCCGCCGCGATTGATATCTGATTACGGCTCCTCTCTTCTCTCTCGGCAACCCATCGTCTTACTCCCAGCTCTGTATCCGTTTTCTGCTTTAATGGAGACCATCCTGCCTCGGGTCAATCCTGTTAGCATTCAAAACCATGATATATCCCGGCCGTCAAGGCTCTGTAACCTCGTTGCTCACCAGAGATGGCGTAAAGATTGCAGCTTTTTGTTATACAATTCGAAGGGGTTGAAGGGCTATAGCATTCGCTCAGTTAAAGCTGTTGCTACTTCTCCGGGGTAATTTTCTTTTCTTAATCTCCGAAATTTCGGTTGAGATTTTGACCGGTTAACCTTCCTTTGTAATCGCAATTCTACTTTCTGATATGCGTTGAGCAACTTGCTCTTGGCCAAAAGGGGCTGATGCAGTGGCGGAACCAGCCACCAGGCCAGGGGGTTTGGGTTGCTGCCTCCAGCCACCAGGCCAGGGGTTTTGGTCCACATATTCAAAAAGCTGATTGTTATGATAAGTAAATAAAGCAACAACATTTCATCGTTTAGTAGTTGGATGGTTGAAAATCATTTAATGTTTGGATTTACTTGACTTCGTTGTTCATAAACTTATGGTATTTAATTTAATTGATGAGGTGAAATGCTTTTCCTTTTAAATGATGAAGGAAACTTGGTTACGATAGTAAGCAAGGAGGAGTTGTGCTTTATTCAACCATTAAAACGATAGATTATACCCACACTCACATATCAATATCGATAAGCTTTATTTAATTATGTTTAAATTGATGTACATTGATTTGGACGGAAATAGTGAGATATATTATATATGAATGATCATGTAATCATACTTAGATTTAAAGAAACTCGATAGTATATGATATAAAATATTCGATTGCCTTAAAGTTGGGTACATGACCACGAGTTGGTGAAAGACAAAGATAATACATAGCAGGAAATTGTTAAGGGCCTTGGTACAAGATCTAGTCCAAGGTCCATGATTCTGAGAAGAACAAGGAAAATATGAATCTATGGTGCCTGAAATATTAATCGACTCCCGCCCTCGGCAAGGAGTTTGTCGCAGGTTCCACCGTACGCCAAATAAAAATTAATATTCCAAAGCTCATCTCATTAATCCAACTGATAAGCCTTAATTAGGCAAAAGACAAGTTTCCTAAAACAATAATAGGAAAGAACTAATAAAGAAGCTCCTAAACTAGTATAAGGAAACCTGAATAAATAAACTCAAAGTAGGAAACTAATTTATTTAATTAAAATAGACTCAAAGTAGGAAACTGATTTAATTAATTAAAATAATGAGGACCACTCAAGCTGATCCCTTCTTTGACCGCCTCTGGTAGACTCTGCCAAATCGACCCATATCATCACTCCCCCCGTTGACAACGAGCTTGTCCTCAAGATCGAAATCGGGAAAATTCTCACGGAAGGAATCCAATGTTTCCCATGTAGCCTCTTCCAAAAGCTGTCCTGCCCAGTGGACAAGTAGTTCCCAGCTACCCTGATATGGGCGAGCCTTAAAAATGGACAGAGGGTGGAGTGGGGGTGGCAGGCTGTTCAGTTCTGGTAAGGTTCCCATCGTCGAAGGCGTGTCTCCTCTGTGCGGCTTGAGTAAAGAGACATAAAAGACGTCATGAATTTTGCTTGATGGAGGAAGTATCAGGCGATAGGCAGCTTGCCCAATAGCTTCCTTTATCTGAAAGGGCCCAAAAAACTTGGGTGAACGCTTCTGAGTATGCCTGATGAGTGACAATTGGCGATGTGGATGAATTCTGAGCCAAACCCAATCATCTGGGGCGAATGACAAATCCTGATGGCCCTTATCGTATTGAAGTTTCATACATTGTTGAGCTTGGAGCAATCTGGTCTTGGCTATGGTGAGGATGGAGTCGCGGTCAATGAGCGCTTGGTCCACTGCGTCATGCTTGGCAGTGCCGGGCGTGTAAGAAAGTAGCTTGGGCGGGTCACGACCATACACTAACCTGAAAGGAGTATCACCCAAAGATGTATGGAAAGATGTGTTGTAGCAATACTCCGCCCATGGAAGCCAACGAACCCAATCTTGTGGACATTCGCCGGTAGTACAACGGAGGAACATTTCCAAGGTGCGGTTCACCACCTCAGTTTGACCATCTGTCTGAGGGTGGTAGGCTGAAGAAAATCGAAGTTGGGATCCACAAAGACGGAATAACTCACGCCAAAAGGAACTCACAAAAACTTTATCGCGGTCAGAGACAATTGATTCTGGAAGGCCATAGAGACGAAAAATTTCAGAGAAGAAGCCTGCTGCCACTGAAATTGCGTAAATGGATGCGCTAGTGCAATGAAATGAGCAACCTTAGATAATCGATCAACAACCACAAAAACAACTGATTTTCCCCGAACCTTGGGCAATCCCTCAATGAAGTCCATGGATATATCTGCCCAAATGTGATGAGAAATGGGCAGGGGCCGCAACAAACCTGGAGACTGGAGGTTCAGCCATTTGTGTTGTTGACACACTTGGCAATCCCGTACATGGTCAGTGATGGTCTTTTTCACGCCAGGCCAATAAAATTCGTGACGCACCCTCTATAACGTCTTAGCACTACCTTCATGGGCCATGGAGTGGAACAAATTGACTATAGTTGGAATTGCGTCAAAAGATGGCAGTAAGTACACTTTATATTGGAAAAACAGCAACCCCTCTCGATATGCCCACTCGGTTCCCAAGGCACCTTCGTCAAGCTGGCGTCGAAGACTAGAATCAGAACTTGTTTACCTCGCAATGAAGTTGTAATTTGCATTGTTGTGGGTGAACTGGAACCTGACATGGCATTGAGGGACAAGGCAAAGTCAAAATCTATTGTTTCATCGCCTTCGTCATCACAAAAAGCTGCTTGCAACGATGACCGCGAACATAATGTTCATCACAATGATAGCAAAGACCTTTGGCTTGGCGACTGGCTGCCTCCGCTCTGGAAATCCGACGCCGCCAAGTGGACGGCTGCTGGGAGTCCTCAATGGTCTGCTTTGGATTTGAAGCAAGGGGACTGGTTTGTGATGCGATATGCATAGGGGATTGTCTTGGTTGAGGTCGTGTGACTGGGAGTAGTGCCACAGATTGTTGTTTGAGCTCAATCTGCCTGGCCAGATTCATGGCAACGTCCTAGCTTCCTGGAGCCTGAAACTCCAGTTCCAAATGGATTTCCTGACGAAGCCCGACCATGAATGCGTTGACCTCGAATTGACGGGGTAATCCATCTACACGCGCCAACAGTTGCTGAAACAACTGATATATTGCTCTACTGTCCCCGTTTGTTTGAGTTGAAAAAGATCTCCCGAAGGGTTGGTGCTTAAAGGTGGTCCAAAACGAAGGAGACAGTTTTCAGAAAAGGTGTTCCACGATATACTTGCACGCAGTTTATCTGCCCAGAGTCGAGCATCGTCTGTCATGTGAAAAGTAGCTTATCCGACACGTGCGATGGGGGCTGTCTGTTGATGTGAAAAAAATCGTTCACAACGCTTCAGCCAGCTTAGTGGGTCACTTGTACCATCATAGGTAGGAAAACCGAGTTTGGAATAGCGGGGCACAATGTTATTCTCGCTACTGACTCGAGTGTGGTGTTCGTGAAACTCCCTATTATCACCATGGGATCCGGAGGGGCTGTTGCTGTTGGAGTCAGTATGCGGACCTGCAGATTTACTAGTCAGGGCAGCAAGCTGCGTGGAAAAAGATGTAACAAGATCTGTAATTTTTGCCTCAAGCGATCCTTGTCGCTGGTTAATATCTGCCATGAAGGTTTTGAGTGTCTCTGCGGTGACGTGATCGTTCTTCATCGTCCTGGATACTGATACCAAATTGTTAAGGGCCTTGGTACAAGATCTAGTCCAAGGTCGATGATTCTGAGAAGAACAAGGAAAATATGAATCTATGGTGCCTGAAATATTAATCGACTCCCGCCCTCGGCAAGCAGTTTGTCGCAGGTTCCACCGTACACTAAATAAAAATTAATATTTCAAAGCTCATCTCATTAATCCAACTGATAAGCCTTAATTAGGCAAAAGACAAGTTTCCTAAAACAATAATAGGAAAGAACTAATAAAGAAGCTCCTAAACTAGTATAAGGAAACCTGAATAAATAAACTCAAAGTAGGAAACTGATTTAATTAATTAAAATAGACTCAAAGTAGGAAACTGATTTAATTAATTAAAATAATGAGGACCACTCAAGCTGGTCCCTTCTTTGACCGCCTCTGGTAGACTCTGCCAAATCGACCCATATCAGAAATCTGTTGGCTTTCATTATGTGAACTATTGCTAGTTCAGAGGTATTTGGCTTTAATTCTTTTGTAAACACATTAGACTATTAGTTTAGGGATACAGCTTATGTTCTGTGGTGTCTTGCGCATTAAGTTCCAGGTATTGGGGTTTAGCCTCCTAGTTTTCACTTTGTCCTTTTCAGAATGGGAAAGAAAAGTAGAGTGGATGAGACAAAGAGCTATACTTTAGATGGCATAAGAAGTTCTTTAATTCGGCAAGAGGATAGCATTATATTTAGCCTTGTCGAGAGAGCTCAATATTGTTACAACCCTGACACATATGACCCTGATGCTTTTCTGATGGAAGCTTTCCACGGCTCGTTGGTTGAGTACATTCTTAAAGAAAACGAGAAGCTTCATGCTAAGGTATCTTTGGAGTATCACTATTATGATCGTCTATAAAAGAAAGGCAAATGTGTGCTTATGTACATGCTTTTCCATTGTCTAGGCTGGAAGGTACAAGAGCCCCGATGAGCACCCTTTCTTTGGAGATGAATTGCCTGAACCATTGTTGCCACCCCTTGAATACCCACAGGTAGTTTAAGTTTAAGTGTTTAACTGCTTAAGATGAGTTTTTAATGCGTTTTACTTTATAGCTGATGTCATGGGAAGCTTCAATGATAATAAATAAATGAATAGACCATCGAGTTTATGCTTACTTTTCATTTACTAATCTATTATTTCGTTTTTGAAAAATTATTTAAATATAACCCTTTCCCTCCCTTCCAGTCCCAAAATCCTTCTCAAACATGCTCTTATAGTCTATTTGTTTGAATGTGAACCTAGGTTCTTCTAGGTTTAATTCCAGGTTCACCGCGTGTTTTTGCAATTTTATGACATCAACTTAGGTCTTCAAATAACTTAATTTTACCTTGGAAAACCTACGAAATCCTCCAATAACTCAACTTTGAAGATCCTCCAGATCAAATGTTCTCACAGGCTAGTTCTGTTTATGCGTAATTTTAACATGTTCACTTGATTCGACTTCACTTGAAACAAATTTTTACTACATTCACCTGAGTTGACCTAAAAATCATCTATACAGCACTTTTATATATGCACATGGGTGCACCTAGGTTCACCCAATGGTTTTACTTTTACCTATGTTCACCACGGTGCACTGTATACAAATGGACCATAAATGTTAATCCTGTGTAAATGAGTATTGTTTTTTCACCAAAATATGTAAATGAGAGCTTAAATGCCAGCGCAGCTCACTAGCTCTCATTCCTTGTCAAGCTGATCATATGGAATTTGTACTATAGTTTCTTTTTACCTGTAATTTTCACTTGACTGTATTGACTAAGTTAGCTCTGACTTATTTCCATACGAGTCTGAGTCAGGGTAACAATACTGGAAATGAATGAGTTTATGAAGAATTTAATCTGCATAAGTTTCTGGGTTACTATTGGCGTCTATCTTTATTTTTTTAATTTATTACATGATGTAATAGACTACAAATAAATCATCCTTTAGATATTGGGCCATCGATAACTTTATAGAATAGCTGCATCGTAGTTGGTCGTGGGCAAGAGCTTCTATTTTGCGGGAGCGTTTCCTTTGGGAGCTCTTGGAGACTGGAGATTTCTGTTTTGAGATTTCCTTCATTATTTTGCAATGGAGCGAAAGATTCATTATTTTTTGGCTTGAGATTATGATGGAATAAAGAAAAATGGCTCACTAAACTGTCTGCGCTTCTTTGTTATGAAGCATCAGTCAGTCCATGCAATTTTGGACGGGATTTTCACTATGGGTCATCCGGAAACAGTCTCTCTGTGCTTTAGTACAGGGGTAAGACTGCGTACATCCGACCCCCCCTTACCCCACCGTAGGTGGGAGACTTTGTGGCACTGGGGTAAATGAAAAAAAAAATTCTTGTTATATCTTCAATTTGCATATTTATTTCATACATTGCATATTAATTTTCTCTGTGTCTCCTTCCTATCATACAACCACCTTTGCTTCTCTGTGTTTTCCTTGTTTTTCATCAGCCTTATTGTTTTCAGGTTTTGCATCCAGCTGCTAATTCAATCAATATTAACAACAAAATATGGGACATGTACTTTAAAAATATTCTACCACGGTTAGTGAAAAACGGCGATGATGGTAATTGTGGATCAACAGCAGTATGTGACACTCTTTGCCTCCAGGTATGAATGCTCATGAAATTTTATGTTAGAAAATCTATCTTAACCGTAACAAGTGAAACGGAAGAAGCAGTTAGGGATTATGAAATTGAATGTTTTGGGATCCCCATGTTTTTTAGACTTCGTTATTAAACATGATACCTTTTTCACACTGTATTTTGTAGCCTATATACACTCCCTTTCCTGGCCTCCGTTTGGAACCCATAAAATGCTAGGGAAAGAAAATAAAGAACAAAATATTGGAGATATTTGGCAGGAAAGAAAAAGCCGAAAAATAAAACATTGGATCAATCTCATCAAGTCTACTTTTAACACTTCTTGAATTCAGTTTTATTTATTTACTTGGAATATATAAATACATAAAAAATCTAGACTTATTTACTCAGAATATAATCAAATTAGTAAATCATATTTCATTTTGTTTTGATTTTTTAGGTAAATCTAAAAATATAAGAGAATGAGTTTCCTTGTCATATCTTTCCATGCACTATCATTTTTCGGGATCCAAACACAGCTTAGGACTTCTGAGCTGGTGAACTACTAGGTAATAGGGGTGGGCATTTCGGTTTTCGGTTCGGTTTTCTTCACTTTCGGTTCGGTTTCGGTTTAATCGGTTTGATAGAAAATGTACCAAATAAAAACCGATTAAGTTTCGGTTTGGTATGGTTCGGTCCGGTTTGGAGTTCGATTTACCAAAGTATTAAGGTTTGGATTGAAAAAAAAAAAATTAACTCAAAATAATGAACCAAATATAATGTTAGATATAAATTTGCAAACAGTAACAAAACACATATGAACTAAAAATATACTCCCTCCGATTCGAAATTAAGTTCCACCTTTCCATTACGGGAAGTTCCAAAATGAAGTTCCACTTTCTATTTTTGGAAAGTTTTACCCATTCAATTACTATTTTACCCCCACATCTCATCTACCCCATTATCCCATCTAACCCTTCCCATCTACCCATTATCCCATCTAACCCAACGGACCTCACATCCCTCTTCTCTCTCCTTTGTGAGCGTCTCTCTCCCCCTTCTGCAACCCTTCGTTCCCGGGCCTCCACGCTCCTCCGTCGCTACCGTTCTAACCCTTCTGTCGTTACCCCTCTGCAGCTCCCCCATCGCTACCCCTCACAACCCTATTTTCTTTTTCCTCTAAGGCTGGCCGAAACTAAGTGAGCAAGGGCAAAAGTGGAAAGTCAACCCTTTTTTTACTTTCTCCTTAAATCCAAGGAAGTCAAAGGTGGAACTTAATTTCGAATCGGAGAGAGTATTAGCATGACACATTTGTAAGCAACAACGGGAATGAATCAAATTATATATAAAGCCGAAACAAAAACAAAACCGGTGCTTGTATGTAATGAACCAAATATATAGTAGTATTAGATAATAAATTATAGTTAAATACTGTCTATTTAAACCACTATAATTGTTATAGTTGTGAATGTAACTCTTGGAGTCAACTCTAGTCCTGGACACTAACCCGCACGGGTAGCCCAGTTGGTCGAGTGGTGGGAAAAATTGGACGTAGACCAAGGTTCGAATCCCGCAGCGGTTAAAAGGGGGTTTTCAGAACCTGAAATAAGGCTGGACCTCTGGTGCGCACGGGTAAAGGCCTACTGCCGCTTTGCCGACTGAGTCACCGTGATTTACTCCCCCACCATCCTGTCGGGTCGGGGTGGGGGGCCCTTGGGGTTGGGGATTCAACCTTTTGGACGTAGTCCTGGACACTAAAATTAAAGAATTAAAGCTTCAAAAAGATTAACATCAATCAAATTAATGAGAGAAATCTTCTATTTTGGTTTGGTTTAGTTTGGTGTAAGTTGGTTTTGATTTGTTATTTTAAAAAAATAAAAAATTATTTCATTTTTAGATTAGTTCGGTTTTATTCGGTTTTATGATTTCGGTTCGGTTTGGTTCGGTTTAATACGGGTTGGGAGGAATACTACCAAACTCAAACCAAATTACAAATGGTTCGGTTTCGGTTCGGTTTAATTCGGTTTGGTACGATTCGGTTCGGTCAAACCGAACCGTTATGCCCACCCCTACTAGGTAATTAAATGAAAGAAGGTTCAACACCAATCTCTCCCATCAACCCATGAAAAAATTCTGACATCGTATAAAAAGAGAAAGAAACGGAAAAAATAAAAGACATCCAGGGTTTTGAAATCAGCGTTTTACGTTTTTTACCCATTGTACCAATCTTGTATGCAGGCGCTCTCGAAGAGAATTCATTATGGAAAATTTGTAGCAGAAGCAAAATATCAGGCGGTACCTGAAGTGTATAATGCTGCCATAATAGCACAAGTAATTTCGTTTCCTCTTAGGACCTGTTCATTTGGACTGAAATTATAGGGTTGGTCTTGTTTGAACTGGTCTAGTATGTTAAATGTGTTTGGTTTGGTTTGTTATTATTTCTATTTTATTTTGTTAATATATAAGTCTAGGTGGGTCTGTTTAAGCTTGGCATGGTCTCAGACTGAAGAAAGTCCAAATGAATAAGGTCCTTTTATCTAAACTATATTATATGTAGATGGTTATTTATAGTTACATCTTGTGATTAGGCTTTAGAACCACAAGTGTCAAGTATTGATGATTATCTGGTGCTGGTAAAATTCTCTCTTCAGGACAGAAACAAGCTGATGGAACTGCTGACCTATCCGACAGTCGAAGAAACAATAAAAGATAGGGTAGAGGTGAAAACAAGAACATACAGTCAAGATGTGCTGCCTATCAGCTTACAGGGGAACGATAGTGATCCGGTATACAAGATAAACCCGAGCTTAGTTGCTGATATATATGGGGATTGGATCATGCCTTTGACAAAGGAAGTGCAGGTGCAATACCTATTAAGAAGACTTGATTAAGTGAACTGCAAAGGCCTGATAAATAGTCATTGTCATGTTGTGCCATTCCGGTCTCTGGATAAACCCGTTGTTGCAGAAAAGCTATTATGTATAAATGCATGGAGGTAGTTTTCCAAAAGATGAAGTGTAATGTGGAAGTATCATAGTTTTCTGTTTACTTACCATTGTTGATAAACATCTTCTAATTTGTTTTCCATCTTGTACTTCATACTTAACCTAGGCCCTTACCACCTAACCCCAACCCTTACCCCCACCACACCGGTCCCACCCTGACGCCACCTTACCCTGACCAAACCCCCTACCCTACCTACCCGACCCCGAGCCCACCCCGAATCCATACCCTACCCCTACCTCGGCCCCACACAATCCCGACCCTACCCTACCCTACTCCAACTCCAACCCCACCCACCCCACCCTATCCTACCCTGCTCCCTACCCCGACCCCACCCTACCTACCCTACCTCGACCCCACCCCAAAACCCCTTGGCCCTTACCATACCTAACCCTACCACATCGACCCTCACCCCGACCCTACCCCACCCTTTCAACCCTTACCCTACCCTGCGTTCGGGGTGGAGGGCGGCGTGGTAGGGTAATGGGGTCGGCGGCCGATGTGGTAGGGGGTTGGGGTAGGGGTAGGATGGTAAGGGCTTGGGGTAGGGTAGGGGTAATGGGTAAGGTAGGGTAGGAGTATGGTAGGTTAGGGTGGGATCGGGGTGGGGCCGATGTGGTAGGGGGTTGGGGTAGGCTGGTTAAGGGCTTAGGGGTAGGGTAGGGGTGGGTGGGGTCGGGTAAGGTAGGGTGTGGGTAAGGGGTTAGGGGGTATGTGTACACATATTATATTATATATCTGTGTTCATGAATGTTTGTGTGTCTATATATGTATATGGTTAGTTTGGATATTTTAATGTTAAACGATGTTTTAAACATTTTGAAGTAAACACGATCTTACAAAACTGCTTATTTTATGCGCCGCTTATTAACGCGGGTCTTAATAAGCACCGTTTAGTAACCCGTGAAGTAAACATGTCCTTAGATTCGCAACAAACCATGAAAATCGACATGGAGGAAAACAAATGCTTTAGCCTTTAGGAAGAAGAGTGTGGCACTAAAGAAATCAAGAAGTAATCAAAATAAAGAGTTTGTTTGGTAACACAAAAATGTATCGAATCTATTGAAATTGCTGAATGATTAAAAGAATTGAATTGGTTAAATGTGCTTGATTATGAAAAATAATTTAAAATTATTCCACACATGAAATGAAATGTTTAGTGATTGAGAAAAACCATTGGTTAGCTTATAAAAGTTTTTTTGAGTGAGGAAATTCCACAACCATTTTGTTATGCAATTCTCAAATATTACAAATTCACAATGAGTCTCTCAAACTCATAAATAATGTATTTATTTAATTGAAAGGGACATTGTTTGGACAAAGTATACAAATAATTTTGTTAGAGGCTTAGCTTTGAAGTACCTAGAGCCAGTGGCGGAACCAGCTCAGAGACATTGGAGGGCACTTAATAGGAAAGCCAAGGTCTCCAACAAAGCGGGCGGCTTGCTGTGACCCTTGAATTTCAATCTCTAGGATGGTGGGCCACGACGGGAGGAAGTGTCATTGCGAATTTGCGATGCTACGTACTCTGGACCGTTCGGAAGCTGTTGCGTCCAACGTCTAGAATATAACTACATATATATTTTATTCTAAAAAGTAGTGTAAAATCAATTATAAATAACCAAATATTTATGGGAAAAGTGTTACGATGTCATAATTTAAAATTTCATGACAGATAAAATTTTACTCCCTCCGTCCCTTATAATTTTGCCAACTTTCCTTTTTTAGTTGTCCCAAAAACTTTGCCACTTTTCCTTTTAATCAATCAATTTGTGGCTCCTGTTATTTCTCTCTCCTCTGCACAAATTTCTACCACACAGTTTTTACTTTATTATTCTACGTGCCGGTCAAACATGGCAAACCTTTAAGGGGCGGAGGGAGTACTTACTAAAAATAATTTTTACACGCACGATTTATAATTTTCAAAAATTATGTTAACAATAAGAACCAAATAAGGAATGAAGCAAATATGTTATTAGAATTAACTTAAGTTGCGAATTCACAAGTATATTAGAAATAAATATATACTAAGCGCAACAAGTATATTAAAATTAAATATATATTAAGCGCAACAATATAACTGTTAAACTTCAAAAATTATATGCAAAAAAATAAATTATACAGAATAATTATATTAGGGTAGTAAAGTAATGGTTCGTTGCATGGGATTCGAACAACAGCCCTTTCCATTAAGGGAGGACACGAAAGCCATCCCACACCCACTATGCTGCAGTCGCTTTTATTAACATGCGCGTTATTCATGTAAAATATGTATACTTTATAAATATTTACAATTTAAATTTTATATTTAATATATATATAATAAATATAAAAAAAAAAGCTGCAGGGGCTCAAGCCCCTCCAAGCCCCTTGCTAGTTCCGCCCCTGCCTAGAGCATATCGGAATCTTTTGATTTAAATGGTGCTTGATGATAATTTCAAAAGAGTCTATATATCCATTTTATCCCAACATCATTGTCATCGTATGTGATTTTCTTTAAATTGGAAGATAAAAGTGTTACTCAAAGTGAAAAGTGAAGAAAAAGAAAGTGAGTAGATGTGGTGAATATTAAACATGCATTAGTTTGAGTTCACCCCGATTTATTGTCGCTAACATCATAGTTATTTCGTATTATTGTTATCTTATTACAGAGTACTACCTTCGTTCTTTACTAAGTGCAACGTGTTGAATTTTAAACTTTTCACCTGTCCTACTTTGACTACATTTTATTTATAATATATTAATATTTATTTTCAAATAAATATTACTACCTCCGTTCCCATTTTAACTTCCAAATGAGTTTGGCACAAAGTTTAAGATAGTGGATATTGCATGGTGGAGAGTTGTGCAGAGGAGAGAGAAATGTGTAAGAAATGTTGTGAACCACAAATTCTTTATCAAAAAGGGAAAGTGGAAGTTTTAATTGGAACGGACGAAAAAGGAAACTTGGAAGTTTATTTAGGAATGAAGGGAGTACTATATTTGTCTCATTGTAAATTTTCAAAATCTAATTTTTTTAATTTTGTTACTGGATGAAAATTATATATATTAATGATCAAAGTTATGTCTTAAGGAAATGTGAATAGTGGACAGTTGCACTTATTTAGCAAAGAATGATATACATCTCAAACATGTTAGGAGGTTTATCTGAGCACCTCAAGTTTGTAAACTAGGATGAGGTTATATCTTAAAATAACCTTAAAATAATTAGCTGTGAGTTTGAGAGTAAAGATTTGCAGCTTTCGGTTCCTCAAATCACAGGGTGAGAAGATAGCATTCCCTCAATCAAAGCTGTATCTACTTCTTCTGGGTAATTTTCATTTCTTCATCTCCAAAATTCCTGTAGAGATTATGACCTGATTAACCGCAATCGCAATTACATTTTCTTGTATGGGTTGAGCAACTTGCTCTTGGCCAAAAGGAGCTGATCATCAGATGAATAAATTTGGAACCAGGCCAGGGGATTTGGATCGCTGCTGCAGCCTCTAACTTTTTTACTTCATAAATAAATTTTGATCCACAAACTCACACACTATTTGTTAAGATTAGTGTAGAGAGCAGCTGTATTAAAATTCAGTTTGATAATTACATCAGATGAAATTTGATATAATCACTTATAGCCCGTATGGAAAGACCTTATTTCCGCTAATCCTCCAACATTTTCCCAAACAATAAACTTTTTATTTGGCCATCCGGAATTCCGGGTAATAATCAAAATAAGTAAAATCTCAGCTACTTTCAAAATAATTTTTTCATAAATTAGCCGCTTTAGCAATAATTTCAGAAATTCTAGTAGATTCAACTAATTCATCTGATTTTAGCATCACCATATGGGACTCTTAGTATATCATATCATCATTTAGTATTTGGATGGTTAAGAAACATTTAATGTATGGATGTTTTATACTTTATTGTTCATGAAAATGCTTTTCCTTATATCATATCATCATTCAATATTTTGGATGGGAAAAAAATATTTAATGTATGGATGTACTGTACTATATTGTTCATGAACTTATGATATTTAATTAAATTATGAGTGGAAATGATTTTCCTTTAAAGTTATGAAGGAAATTTGGTCATAAAGTAAGTAACAAGGAGTCATTGATTTGGAATCTTATAGATAAGCTTTATATTGTAAATTGTTGTATATAGATAAGCTCTATTGTAAACTGTTGTACACTGATTTGGAGGCAAATAGTGAGATGTATGAATGATTATTTAATCGTTGTTTGAAGCTCGTATTTGGATTTAACAAATTTCAACCAAACTCGATAGTATATGATTTAAATTTTTAGATTGGCTAAAAGTTGGGTAAAAGGCCATGAGTTGGCGAAAGAAAATGTTACTAGTAAAATATTATAACAGGAAATCCCTTGACTAACATGATGTCAACCTTTGCTAGTTCAGAGGTAATTTAGAGGTGTTTGGTCTCTACTTACTAGTAAACGGATTATTTTAAGGGTAGAGCTTTTGTGCTATGGTGTCTGGTGCAGTAAGTATCAAGTAATGAGTGATGTATCAGGTTTTAACTTCTTACTTTTCACTTTGTCGTTTCCAGAATGGAGAAGACAAGTAGAGAGGTCGAGACAGAGAGCTATTCTCTAGATGGCATAAGAAGATCTTTAATTCGACAGGAGGATAGCATTATATTTAGCCTTGTGGAGAGAGCTCAATATTGTTACAACCCTGACACATATGACCCTGATGCTTTTCCAATGGAAGCTTTCCATGGCTCGTGGGTTGAGTACATTCTTAAAGAAACTGAAAAGCTTCATGCTAAGGTATTTATGAAGTGTATCTCTATTTTGTTCATCTAAAAAAGAAGGCAAATGGGCGTCTAAGTACTTGTTTTTTTAATTATGTTTAGGTTGGAAGGTACATGAGCCCTGATGAGCATCCTTTCTTCCAAGATGAATCGCCAGAACCATTGTTGCCACCCTTGCAATACCCACAGGTAGTTTAACTGCTTAGTATGAGTTTTTAATGCATTTATATTTGTTGCTGATGTACGGGGAAGTTTTAATGATTCATAGCAATAATTTTTCTCCTTCCCTGGCAGAATCTCGACATTTTTGCATCCTGTAGGGCTTTTTTGGGAAGGTATTTCAGAGGAGAAGTGAGGGGATTCTTTTTAATTCT